TTTTTTTTTTTTGGTTGTGATGTTCATTAGGTCGGAGTGTAGTGTGTCTAATGGCCCTTTGGCCTTGTTGAGTTTTCCATCAAAAGGTGTTTGGTTCGTCTTGTTCATCTTGCAGCTATCACAATTGATTTTCTGACCGCGCGGGAACGTTATATTATAGAGTCGTTTTAAAGTACTGCGGGTTGCTTGTTCGTGTAGGTGTGCAATTCGTGAATGTCATTGGGATAATGATATTTTCTTCATGCGCGTGACAGAAAAGATGTATTTTGGAAGTTTATTAATTTGATTTACACTGATGCTGAAAGTCATTTTCCATTTGTGTATGGTACATTGTGTACAGTTTCCCTGTTGTGACGGTGGTAGAATATTACATTATGTGTGGTTGGCAGTCTAAACCTAGGTTGTATTTGATGAGTATATTCTGCGGAATGAGTGTTGAAGAGAAGTGCGGATTATAATGTGCCTCTGTGTCTTCCCAATTTATTGTACCGTTTTTTGTATTCTAGGTTAACATTTATTGTTCCTACGGTTGTTGATTTTATTTACCCCTTCGGTCTGTCGAAGTAACATGGTGTAGCGAGTTGTCTCACATTGGTGAGTAGATCTCGTCTGCAAGTGTATGTGACGTCTGACCCTTGATCGTATAATGCAACATCTGGAGTGAGGTGTCCTAGTGATTTTGCATATTTCATAGGTGAGAGGTGGATTACAGTGTTTTCTAATTTGTTGCCATATTCACTGACCCTTTTATGTTTGTCTTTGAGCTGTGGGCGTAGGCACTCGTTATCTGAGTGGGTGCGTGGTAATCTATAGTTGTTTTCCAGACAATAGGAACAGAATTTGATATCAAGGCGACGTAGTAGATCTGTCGTTTGACTTTAATTCTTGGAGGTGTTTTGGTCATCATACATTATCCACGTGTTCTATCTGAGTGGCTTGTTTGATTGATGCAGCTTTGGCTGGTGGATCAAGTTTGATTGTGTCATTGTAATCTTTAATGATTGCTTTTGTGAGTTCATCGTAGTTAAGATATTGGGATTTTTGGTAGAGATGGAGTTTTGATGATTTTAATTCAATAGGTATTGTTTGTAGTGCTCTATATTTCAAAGAATTTTCTCCAAAGATTGAGTCTAATTTCTGTGGTTTGGTGAACAGTTTCTTTAGGTTTATATAGAATTTTTGTGCATTTTCTCCATAGATTAATATTCTACTGAGGAATTCTGTTTGCAGTTGTTCCAGGCTTTCTTCTGGTTCAAAGATTTTGCAGATACTTTTGTAGACGTCGTTGGCTGTGCACGTATCGTAATCTATATCGATTGAATTGAAGATATAGGTCGAGATTGATAATGTCAATTTATTCCATAAACTTTTACTGCTTTTATTAAATATTTTCTGAGCTTTTACAATTTCTGCGTGTGAATATGCAGTTTTGGTTGTGTTTGTTTTGGAATCTACATCTTCGTTTTGTCTATTTCCATATTGTTTTCTTCTTGACATTGGTCAATTCTGTTTAATATTTCTGTAGCATTGGCTAGTGTGATGTCAGAATACCGATACAGAGCTGGACATACAGCATCATTTAATAACCAGGGACAAAAAAGGACAGGCAATTACGCACAGATACTCAAGCAACAACAATGGATACGGGCAAGAAAATGGATGTACGGCCAATAACAATGATATTCGGGCAACAATGAAAACTATATAAGAAATCATATCTTGTACCAAAAACGCTATCTACTTAAGATCACATTATACTTAATACCTTTTCAACCAATAATAAAGCGCGTTTGATATCTACAGACCAACATAATATAATATTCCGTCCCTTTTATATGGATTTGCATGTCTCACTAATCCTGTTCCTTTGTTTCTCTCTCGCGGTGTGTTTCTGATTGGTAAGCTGTGACCGTGCCTCGATAATGTTTGACTCTGTATGTCCAGTCCCAGTATTTGTATTCCAACAGTAGTTGGGTTACAAAAAGTCACGTCCAACAGACTACATTTGACAAAACGTAAAAATTTTGGTCATAAAAAAACCTGACCGATGAGAGATTCGAACTCCCGGCCTTCAGATTTGGAATCTGCTGCGCTACCACTGCGCCAATCAGCCATCTTGTTTGAAGAGCTTCTGCATATAATATATATAGACAAAAAAATCCCAAAAATTTTATGAAAAAATTTCAAATTCGACAAAAAGATGGACGATCATCATCGAAAATCGGCCGATTTGCCGGAGGGGCATAAAAACCCTCCCAGTGAATCCGCAAGCGCCGAATTCACAGGTGAGCACTTTTTAAACGATATATCGTTCGATTTCGGTGCTGCTGACGCGCGAGGAAATCTCGACGCGTCGCAACACGGGAGGAGACAGAGTCAAAGACTCAATACTAATTTAAATAAGAGGCGCAGAACCGATAATGAAAGCTACGGAACGCGTAGTTTTGATATATTCCCGCTCATTGAGCAAATCAACAAATCGTTGACACAAATTGTTGAAAAGAGGGAACAAGGGAATGATAATACCCTCAAAGAGAATGGCTAACTCTACTTAAAGAGATAACCAA